AAAATCGTTCAGATTGATTATAATTTTAGTTTCGCAAAGTATTAAAACAGTTTCTATTTACTGTTTCATTTGTAAAAAGTTATATAGAAACATTCTGCAACGTAATTTCTTCATTGATATTAGTATACCTTCATTAAGGTTAAAGATTTTAGCGTTTGATCATTTTGATTACTACGAGGCTTGATAGTAATTCTAGCTGCACTAGTTAAAGGATCGTTTGGATTTAAAACTTTACAGTCGTAATCAAGATGATAGCAGACCCTTTCATTCCAATTCACGGTAAGCGTTCGAATCATCAATTCTTTATCCTCACACAGAAGGCGCCCATTCTTGAATTCGATTTTATAGGAGCCATTTTCTAATATAACATCTTCTAATCCACAAGGCGAAAGGGCAATTCGCCGGTAGGGCTCAGGAATATTTTGCATTATGTTATCGTCATCTACATTTTTACTCAATATTACAATCTTCAGATGAGTGGTTTTTAAATAGGAATCAATCGGCGATAAGTAAGCCACAGCTTTGATTTCCTGCTGATATGAGGGAAATATATGCTTGAATAAAACTGATACTGCTGATTTAATATAGATTAAATAATCCGAAAAATGTTGAATAGGGACATTAATACAATATGTATTCTCAATTTCTTGTATAGATATGGATTGGTAATCTAATTTCTGAATGTTCCAAACTTTATCTTCTTGACTTCGATGGCCTAATTTTAAAGGTAGGTCTTTAATGTTATCCACTTTGAAATACTGACACAATTCGCTAGCGGAAGGAATTGGTAACCGTAACATTACTTCAAATGATTCTTGGTAGCCAAAATGGTATCCATCGGGCTCTAGTCGAATAATGGGTGATAAATAAATTAGATGTTCACCATCATCGACGGGTAGGCCAAAAATGTACGGGGCATCCGTGTAGAAGGTTGTTAATGTTATGGATAAATTATCCTTTAAAGCCTTTTTAGGAACGAATAGACGTAGCTGAGGTATTTCTGGTAAGGTTATGGTATGATTATCAGATATTGTACAAAGTTCAGTTATTTGAGGATAGCCATTTAATGCTATAAAATAGGTTGACATTGTGTTAGAGAATATGCAAGGAAAAATGCTGCAAGTATGAATACGTTTCCATCTGCAGTATTTTGCGATGATATTACCAGTAAAGATTATTCCGCTTACAATCTATCACATTATAATCTCAATAATTGTAAATCTTATACAATATTTCTATGATATCTTGATCCTAGAATGATAATTGTCAAAGTTATACTAATGATTTTACCCGGTATAAATCCTGGAAATATATTTAAGTGACTTTCGTTCTGGTAGTCAATATCAGTTATAGCATTTTCTAGAAAAATAACAATATTTATTAATGAATTTTAAGCTAAATCGAATTTTATTTAGTATTTATTAACTCTTCAATATTCCTATCTCAACTTTACAGTATGCTACCGCTTAATATAGTAGAGTTAAATGTCAAGGATTATGTTTAGTAGATGATTATTCATCAAACGTCTTACAACTTAACTGAAGAAAACTAAAATAAGCATTTATTTCTCTAAGTAATCTAGCTATCCCGATATTATAGTCAGCTCAAATTTATGGATTTGGCTTAAAACAGACTTTGAAGTAGCTATACATGTATCTTATTGCTGTATAATAATAGTAGAATTCTAATAATTCTATTCTATGCAAATATTTGCAAGCAGACATGATTGTCCTATGTGGAACGCAGCGGCGGTGAAATTAAAATATTTCTTGTTATACAGGAGTTCTTTTACTTTGTGTGTACATTATTGTCAAGAATAGAATCCTTATCGTAATTTTTAATCTTTTCAGAAAGAAAAGCATGACAAAAACAATAATGTGCATTGCATTGGAAACAGTTTACTAGAAACCAACCTGGAAGTTCTTTCGCAGCTTTTTCATTTTCAGCTTCTGCCCTTACGTGGCCAGCAATAGTATTACTGCTCTGTTCGCTACGTTCTATATCTACCAATGCAAGGTTACATCAATTCTTCAATGTGAATTTATTTCCTATTTATTACAATGCTGTTATTCTTTATTCCTTTTACCTTCAACATCGCTTTGTATCAACTGTTGCTCTTCAGATATGTTACCTAGAAATTAAGTATGTGCAAGAACATTTACCATCATATTCAAACAAAACAAAAGGAAGATCCTGCGTGTACGTAGGATTTCAATCATATCATGCTACTTTAAAAAATTTACAGTGGCACTACATTAACGTCAGGCAGATTACATAGAAGTATTCTTTACACGCTACCCGTAACTTATGTCAATTTTGTGCAACATTCTTAACTAAAACGAAACGTTTATTCTATTTTTGATAATTTTTGATAATTTTGATAAGGTTCAGCAGTAAATAGTT